GTGGCTGCTCATTTCCTTGAGCCATAACATGGGCTAAAGGTTAACTTAGCCAATCTCCGTGGAAGAACAATTTCTCTTTTTTTGGGGAAGGGAGAAGGAAGGGGAAAGGGCGTTGTTTCACAGTCTTTCCCACCTTAGAGACTCCATGTGATGTACAGTGCTGCTCATGCAGATTTTTCTTTTTTTTTTTTTTTTTGTTCCCCCCCACTGGATTATTTGCTAATCAGACTTCAGTGCAGTGGAGATAAGAGCGAGACTGTTGCCTAGCTCCCGATCCCGGAGCCAGGAGCACCGCCGCGGCCGCTGCCGCTCCGCCGTCCCGCCTCTCCATGGGCCCGGCGCGGCGGAGCTGTCCGAGGTGCTAGGATGATGCTGGCTGCGCGGGGGGTCAGGGCAGCCGGATTGCAGCAGGAGAGGAGCCCCACAGTCCTGCTGGCACCCGAAGGTAGGCTTGCTCTTTGTTCGAGGATTCCTGATTAATCAACAACAGCACCAGCGGAGCCAGGCAGCCGGAGAGAGCAAGCCTGCCTGGAGTCGCGGGGGAGAGAGAGAGAGAGACGATGCCACGAGCCAGACTGCTTCAGACCTTCCGTATTTGAGTGGCAATGAGCGAGAGAGCGCCTTTCCTTGCTGCAAGAAGCCATTTGGATAGGATATTTGCTGTTCCTTATATTCCTTCCTTTTTGTCTCCACAGAACATATTCAAATGAGGCACCTTAGAAATCTCTGTGTTAGTGCATATGATGGTGCTGTAATCGTCTGTGTTGTAAAGTGGGTAAAAATCATCCAGTTCCTTCTCTGCTGGACCTCAAAGCAGGGTGTTGTTTATACCCTCCCATTATCCATACCCTCTCTTCTCTGAATGTGGATTTAAAGAAGCAAGCACCTGTCTGTTCTTCCCACTGCATTTTTTTTTTTTTTATAAAAAAGCCAAACTTTCCATGCCATTTTAATCATATGTTAAGAAGATCTATAACATAACACATTGACTTGCAGTGATGTCGAATTCTACAATCCGGGCAATTCTGCCAGCAAGATTTAATGCACTTTAACTGAAGAAAAAAAACTGAGCCTAACTGAAAATCTGTTTCTTATGGTGCTGAAATATCCCTTCCGACTGCACTGAGATAACCACAGGAAAGGGCTTTTACAGGCAAAAGTCACCTTTGATTATTGCACTTAGTGGTCCCCGTGGACTTAGATTTTGGTATGTACGTGTTTTAATACAACCTATGAGCATGCTAATGAAGTATGGTGCTAATTAGAATAAAAAAAATGATATTACAAAATTAAGTAACGAATAGTCAGAATGCACAATGAGGTTGCATGTATTTTTAGAATGTATTAAGCTATTGCTAAACTAAAAGCTGAAGTCTATTTGACTGGTTTTGTGTACTTCACATGTTGATTGTGCTTGCAATAGAGAGGCTTTGCAGCTGAATTTTTTTTTTTGTTTCTAAAAAACCCTGTTAAATAATTAAAACCATTCTTTCGTATTTTCTGATGAATTAATTGAAATAATTTCCAACATCTCTGATAGTTACTTATCAGACCTGCTGTACCATTAATATTTTACAGCATATGAACATGATGCTGGTGGTAGTGAAGTCTCCATTTCATTTTCTCAAAGAGGAGGAAAAAATAAGTCCATCGGCAAGAAGCTTGTGACTTCTTTTGAGTTCAAATGCACTCCTGTTTGCACACAGAATGTGTGTGTATGTGTCTGTGTGTTGTGTAATTTTATTTTTTTTTGTTGTTTATAAGTCTTCTGCATCACGTTGGGAAGTAAAATGTCATAACTGCACTTAGGTGCTGGCCATTCTGAACCCGGGTTTGCAACTGTCCAATATCCATGTGGTTAGGAGGATGCCTTGTTTTCCTCAGGGTATAAAAGTAATAAAAGTGTTGCTGTATTGCAAAGTAAACAACAGCTTTTTATGTCCTGGAGTCATAGAGGAGTCATGGTAAGCAAAGACCTTTTCCTTTTCAAAAGACCCTTCGAGCCTTGGGGTATTTTTTTTTTTTTTTTTTTTTAGTTCTTAAAACTATAGAAAAACACAGCTTTTCCATGGGAGGGGTAGGACATCTGTAGAAATGGACTATTTCTTTAAATCCATGTGGTAGCATTCTCAATCTATTGAAGGAGACTCTTTTAACCTCTTGAAGTGAAGGGCTCAGCACTACTTAGCTTCAGTGATTTTGCCCAGGTGCTGGAGCTCGTGCTGTGCAGTATAATGAGGACCAGGTAAATAATCTGTCCCAGTCAAAATACAAAACGTATTTTGTACTTCTGATTGATGGTAGTGGTTCTTTGGTTCTTTTTCTTAAAATATGTGCATATATAGTTGTCAAATGACATACAATAGGAAACTTGGGGCCAGTTTCAGAAGGTCTCTCCTCTTTGATGTTAGAATTTAATGCATCACTGTGTGTGAAAACAGCAAAGCCATCTCATTGTTAGGAACGAGCAGGGGATGCAACTCTAAGAAGCGTGCCTTAGCAATTTGTATCATCACATTGAAGGGCTTGGGTGTTTCAAATCTCACTTGATATAAGGCACAGTTATGATAAGTTCTGCTAAGTAGCCTCTAGTATATTTTTACGTCACTAAATTTGTCTTGGTCGTAGTGAAAATATTTTTTTTTGTATTTCCAATACCATTAGGCCCTTATTAGTGCTGCTGTGATCAGCAGTTTGTGAAAACTGGATATGTCTGGCCTGTCTACTTTGCTCTTATTTTCTTGCAAGCAACTAGAATGCAACAGCTCAAACTCTAGGGTTGAATGGTTGATTAGCACCCTTGATTTGTGCAGAATCCTTCTAATATAGTGAATTTAGTGGAGGGAGTTGATAGGTAACGTGACAGCAGATGTGTTCTCAAAGAGAGGAAGCAGTATTTGGGAGGGAATCAGGCAGGACTGGAGAGGTGTGTAGTAGGTCTTGATAAATTAGATGTTGGATTCAGGACTCTGGGCAGCCCCCCCACTTGTTTTTCCAGGCTCTGTTCTCCTATGTTAAAATTTAAAAAAAAAAAAAGAAAAAAAAAATCCCTCTGCTTTGGAAGAAGGCAATCAGTGCCTTTGTCATTACTTCAAAAAGCTCCTTCAGTTTAATGTCAGCATTGCCAGTTTTCGGCGCAGCACAGCTGCAGCTTATGGCTGTCAAGCAAGCTGAAAAGCAGCTGATATTTTGGGGATCCTCATGTGAATAAGAGGGAGAATGGCATGTCTGAATCTTCACGTGTGTGGTGCTGCTTGGATACTGTGATATTGAGTCAATTGCTCCTCATATTCTGAAATCAATGTTTTTGCACACTGATCATATGAAAAGGAGGAGCTTTGTGGTTTGACCAAGAACGCTGTGTATTTGGCATCAGAGCAAATAGTTAAATTAGAAGTAGGGTATGCAACAGTGTTGTGAAACACAATGCATTATGCTCGCTTAGAAACTCTGTCTGAATCAATACAATCATCTTGAATTTAGTTATGTAAATATTTCTGAGTAAACCAGGAAGGGGACTGCTTGCCCTTGCCAGTAAGCCAGATGCACTGGCAGGGAAGGAAAAAAATAATCTTTCTTGCTTTATTCCTCCCATGCTGACAGCTGAAAGCACGAGCCAGGCCAGTGTGACCTGCTCTGGGCTCCCTCTGATGTGGGGGTGCCTGGAGGGGCAGGTGTCGGTGAGAATGATGGGGTGTGATTGTGATTTTTTTTCCTCAGTGAGATTTCACACCGTGTTAGCTTGACCTTTAACAAGCGAAGTGAACGTGATGGAGAACTACTTCTTTGTCTCCTTGTGCTCAGGTGAATTTTCAGAGATGTTCATATTCAGTGAGCACTCAGAACCGAGTTCTTCCAAACAATTTTTGTTGACTTCGTAGCATGTTGACTGCAACAGCTGAATTCCGGTGCTCTCCCTCTGCCCTGCTGTCTCCTTTTGTTCCTTCACAATGAGGAGGGGAAAAAGAAAGGAGTGTCTAAACACTTTTTCAAATGGTGCAACTCCCAGGTAGAATTTTCCAGGGCTGATTGATTTCAAAAAAACAAAATGCACTGAAAGCAATTTGATTGCAAATACTTAGGTGACTCTGTGTGGCACGTGTCACTGGCTAACAAAGTCCCTGACCACAGTGTGAATGTCAGGGGCACCAGAATGCTGGTGCCTCACCTACAGCTTGCATTACTTATTTAAGAACTTGCATTTGCATAGTTTTAATCAAATATAAATGTACTCAAACACAACACTCGCCTATGCTTGTATCTGCCCTGGCAGATGGTGAGGAATTGCTCACTGCCTGAGTTTACCAGTCAGCAGAACCTTTGATCAAAGGTTGATGAGTGCTGCCTGCCATTTTCCAAGGAGGGGGACAGGCAGGCACTGCCTGGGACTCCGTGGGCCACGTGTATTGGTTGCAGCCTATTGCGATTGTTATGCACATTTATTAGGGTAACGTGGCATTAATAGCTGTAAATAAAATTGGTCCTAGTGTGCCTCCCAAGGAATACCAATACTGTAAAAATGTTTACAGTAATTAGTGAAGCTTTTTGCACCAGCTGTTTGCATTTTTAATCCCTAGGTACAGCATGCACAACTGTAAGCTATTGGTAAATGGGGTGAGGCTGTAAAATAGCATGCATGCAGGAGGTACATGGGGTTTGTTCCAGAAAGTGCTTGCTGCTTGCACCGAGGCTTTTTGGAGTTGGTGCCATACATGCGGGTTTAAGGTTCTGAAATGTGTGTGTTCCCCAGCAACCTCCAGGAAGCACCCCAAATTGAATTGGATGTTATGAGCATGCAAAAATCACAGTCATGGGAGGAGCTCAATAGCTACATTTGCTCAGTACTGTTGCAGGATTGGACCTCTGTTAGGACAAAGAATATATCTTGGTCTAGCTATTAAACAGGGTCTAAGTTTTGTCATTCTGCATGAGTTTAGTAATAGGAAACATCAGCAATAAACTAGCATATAAAGAATCTAATCAGTGCATGCAGCAGAATAAAAGCTTTTTATTTCAATCTTTTTGCAACTGGAATGACTTCATCTTCCTGTTCAAAAAATAAACATCATAATAAAAGGAGATTCAGTATATCCTTAGTGCCAGCTCATTTTTGACTTCCAAAGTGAAAGGAAAACAATGAGGGAGAAATATGTAGTATTGTTGCCACAAAAGAGATTGTGAAGCAGATGAAGTTCTATGTGTTGGGGAAAAATGAATCAGAACTACATTTATTGAAAGCCTGTTGAAGTTACCTTCAGTAAAAAAAATTCTGCTGTATTTCAGGAGTAAAATCTGGTCACTGGAGAAATCAATGGCAATATTGCCATTTTCACTAGAGTGAGGTTTCTCTGTTGTGCAGGTTTATTTCAATTTAATTGAACATATGCAAAAACTAGGCTTGACTAGAAGTCCGAAATGGAAAATCCGGTACAATAGGCATCTCTTGGGAAATGGCCTGGACTTTAACCATCAAAGAGCAGGTATCATTTAAGGAGTTCAGAGACAGTGGAGTTAGAGCTGTCTATGCTGTTAGCATTGGCTTTAATCAGGCAGGTTTCATGCTGTAGAGACAACACTTCCAGGAAGGGGCTTTGGTAACTGGACTTACTTTTTTTTTTAATCAGCAAGGTTAGGAATAGGCCTAAAACAATGTCTGCTGCAGCACCAGTAACACCGGTAGAGTCTGTGTAGCTCATTGTCAGCGTTCCAATTCACTCCTTTGCAGATAGTGTGCCACTTTTGGTGAATACATGGAATGGCTGAATGCCTATTCCAACCCAGTGGAGTTCTAGTCTGTTCCAAGCTGTGTGAAATGCCAGACATGCACATTGGGCTGCGCTGAGACCTCCTTCACTGGTTTTACCCTGCAGGGATTAGTAGGAGATGTTTATACCCATGCCTGAAAATGTTTAAAGATCACTTCAGTGACCCTGAACATCAGCCTTATGCTCGTGTTCAGGTTTAGTTGATAGAAAAGGTTGTCTGGGAGGCAGAAGAGGTAATAGGAGCAGACCCTTTGCATTCCCTGGATCTTCATCATTTTAACAGTCATGTCACCATTGTATAGAGGTAATTTTGATATACAGACATGGAAAACAAGGGAAAATTATTAGTGTGCTTTTAAGGTATTAACTGCCTGAAATCAGCTGCTTGTTGCCATTGTCACTTCAAGTAATCAAAAATGGGGGAAAAGCATTTAGGAGTGGAAAACCATTTTTCGGGTTTTTTTCATCCCTTGCATTCCCCTGGTCAGGCTGTGCCTAACAGCCCAGAGTAGATTGCTGGAATCCTTAAGAGCATTTTATTTATTTATTTAGAAACAGCTCCTATCCAGATCAGAATCCTACTTGTTCAGGTATGTGATAAAGATTAGAAAATGGCATTATATTAAGAAATAGGGGAAAGATATTTGTAGCTAATTACACAGGAACCCTGTCCCTAAAAATCTGTGTGCAGACAGGATTCTCATTGCCTATTCAATAAGATCACTTCTGGCTGTGGTGCTGGCAAGGTTTCTGGGGCTGGTTCCGAGAAGTCACACAATCCTCCTTCGGGGAAGGCAGGAATGCTCTAGGAGTGAATAAGCAAACGTGCCTTGGGGAGCTGAGTTCAGCTGCCAGCTCTACCTGTGGGTTGCTCGGTCCCTCCTACAGCAACTCCCTGGTTGTAAGATGAGGACCCCATACAATACAGCCCAAGGTTGTCTTGCCTCTGGACCTTGCAGTACTCAGTGTTTAAAATAAGGTGACACAACTCTATTTTTTTAATAAAGTTCTATTTTACTTATTAAATAAGTAGTTAATCCAATGCATAGATTTTAGACAGAGAGAGCATATCTCTTGAAATTCTACCTTGCCTTTAGTCTCCTGTAGTGTTTACTGGTGTCAATACACCAGAGCTCTTGCAATTCCCAGGATGTCTGTTGATGGGTGGAAAACATTTGGGGCCTTTCTGAGAGCTTTTAGGCTGCCTGCCATGCAGCCTAGGGATCCAAGTGTGTTAGCTCCATGCTGCTTAGCTGGAGGTGCTGTGAATCGAAGTGCTGTCACACCTGTGTGAGAAATATGCAAGTCTGGGGAATTTCAAGGCTTTGGAGTTTTGAAGGACCCATCTCAGCTGGGATTTCTTGTCCAAGCTAACAAACTGTTGGGCAGCAGATGATAAGGGTTTATGGGCTCATATCTACATTACTGAGAAATACAGGGAACTATTTCCCAATATTTCTTTCTAGATTTTGTACCTGATGAAATTTTTTTTGAAGAAAGGTTTTTTTGTTTCAGAATAGTCAACAGTATTTTTCACCTGAACTTTGGAATGTCCTGAAGAATAGGAATTTTGTCTGGTAATCTGCTCTGGTGCAGCCTTATCTAAACTGTAAAAAGGACCTGTTGTCCTGTGATGAAAGCCTTCTCAGTCTAATTCAAACAGATTCAGTGTCAATGCAACTGATGGGTATTACAAAAAGGGAGAGGATGGGAGGAAACTTTTTTGCGATTTACAGGGTGTAACTGGATGGATCTGCATCCCCTGGAATAAGAGACTCTTGGTTTTGTCTCCTCTTGTCTTGAGTAATGTTCTGTGTTCTGAATTGCTTTGTTTATTATCCTTTAAACAGGAGAAAGTCTGAAAAATTGTCTCTTATGAAGATGTTAATTACAACTGACACAATCTCGCTGTCATAAACTATAAGCTATTTTCCTACTGATTAAGGTATTATGTGTTTTTCAACCTGCAGGAAACGTTGCTTTCCTTTGTTCATTATCTCCTGCAAGATGATGAGTTCTAATCAGGAGGAGGTCACTTTGGGCGCTTTTCTCCAGTATATTGAAGATATGGGGATGAAGGCCTATGATGGCTTGGTTATACAGAATGCATCAGACATTGCTCGAGAGAATGATCGCATGAGGAATGAAACAAACCTGGCTTACTTGAAAGAAAAGAGTGAAAAACGTCGAAAACAAGAAGAAGCAATAAAACGGTAAATATTTTGATGAAGAGATGAGTGGTCTGGCAGAGTGAATGAAAAGTGAGGGGCTCTGTCCCAGATGTGGAAAATATGTGTAGACCAGTTGATTTCTGAGCAGCTTGCTGGTAAAAGCAGGGCAGACCGCTGGCCTACGTCAGGCTTCTAACTGCACGTGTTTTACCTGCAGATGTGATGGTGAATGGTTCTTCCTCCCTCCCTCCCTCCCTCCCTCTTCCCATCTGAACATATTCAGTTTGAGTTTGTGTAGCATCTTTTGAACATGTGTGATTTATAACAAAAAGTTTGGGTCTCTGGAATAAGAGGTGCAGATCTAGTGAAAAATAGGTTGTCATCCTCTCAGTGATTTTTAGATGCCGAGTTTGTACTTTGTGCAGAGGTATGTGTGTGTGTGAGCAAGACAAGGAGAGCCTCACAGGTCACAGTAAACTCTCCTTGAGCTGATGTTTTAAACCTGGCAAATTTTCAAAGCTTTCTAACAACTATCTGAGGTTTTGCAACAACAACAACAACAAAAAAAATCTATTATTTGTGATTTCCTTTCCGTTCTGCGAGCTCTGAAGTCAGTAACAATCTCGCAATCATTTAAAGGAAAATGGATCAAGCCCCTGATGGGCAGAACCAAATAATGGCTCTTCTTGAACAATTCAATTGATTTTAATTGACAGTTAATGAGAGGAGCACTTGCCTGACCTGGCTTCTTGTGCCAATGGATATCAGTGAAATCGCTGCAGCCTCTTGGAGAAGAAAAGAAGGTTGAATGGAATATATATATAAATATTTATTACATATACATTTGCATTATTAAAAACAAGGGTTTTCTTGAGATGAGGCTAAAATTATGTAATACAGGTAAACCATCCATCCATGTTTAACTTTTATTTGCAAATGAATGGCTTGAGCACAAACTGATAGGAGATCCTTTGCATTTTTTCCCCCAGCATGAGTCTTCTGTATTTCAGTTTAAGTGATTAAATTTTATGCTATGTCTTGGGTACTGTACATCCAGGTATAACAAACATGCTGTGCTGTGAACATTCAAGCAATGCCTCAGTAGTCTGATTATTTTGATGGAATATTAAAAAGAGCAGCACATACAGCTGGACAGAGGAGGGAGATAAAGGAATGTAAAGCAAAAATATGGCTGCGTTATGTTCCAGGAAGTGGAGGTTTTTAGGTTGTTAGCAATTTGGTTGGAGTGATAAGAGTGATGTAAATTTAAGGTGAATACAGCGAATTAGGCTGTACTCTGGCTAACCTGGTTATATGTGTGACCATAAAGGCCACTAAGTACCAGAACAGATTTTTTTTTTTTTTTTTTAATAAAGAAGTTTCTTGGGACATGAGAGAGTAAGTTGTAGGCTGACCTGGTTCTTTGTAGTCTTCTGGCTAAGCTTCTCTACCTAACTTGAATGGTGGTAACAGTATTTCCTACATTGTGGTTTGTTTGTGTGGTTTTGTTTATTGATCCTGGCAAAGCGATTTGATGAAGAGCCCTGGATAAATACAGATGATTTAGGGCTGAGCCAAACCATGAAATTCTTGCTCATGCTGAACTGATATCACTGAGGACAGAGTTCTGACCCTCAGTTACAGAGCCAGAAGACAGAAGGAATAGGATCAGCAGTAGTGGGACCAGAAGCAGTGGGTTTACTAGATGAACAGCATTTGTCTGTGTGTGGATTGGAGGCATCAACATTTCCTGAATTTTGGGCTCTTCTGTGGGAAATTGTGTTTGCAGTGGTCCCCCCAATCCCTCTCCACCTGTATTATCTCAGTAACGTTGAGGGGGTAAACAACATCTGTCTGAGGAAAAGGAGTAGGGAAAACACCTTAGGAGATCTCGAAAAACATTCTCTTCAGGTCTTTTTCTCTGTCTTTTTCTAATGGAAACTTGTAGAAGTAAAAAATAAAAATAGATACTTGTGATCCTTGGTTAGAAAGACTAAAAGCAATGGCAGACCAAGGGAGAACATCTGATTTGTCTAAAGGAACGGTGGTGATGTCTGAAGTCACTTAGGCTGATTGCAATTGAGTCTGTTCCCTGTAGTAACCTCCAGAGATTCACCCAAGACCATGTTGTCTATTGAAACATAGCAGACAGGAAAGGTGAAGTAGGATTATTGATTTCTTCTTTGTTCTGTTCTATATTCCTTAAGTCTTTACCTTATCTTGATGGATATTTATATTATCCCTAATTCCTGATGCTGTGGCCTAGATAGAAAGTGGTGCACATGTGCAGTGATAACAGTGCTGCCAGTCTGGAGAGTACCAACAGCTGAAAAAAATCTCCTTAGCAACAAGGGAGTCATCCCCTGTGATTAACTGCAGGTAGATTTTTGAGCAGGAGCAGGGGTTCCCACAAACACTCTTCTTTGGCATGTGGGAATGAAAATAAAGCAGTTGGTACCAAGGACTTATAGCTGAAAATTACCTGATAGTCCAATTGACTTGTTTTAGAAGCTAGTTTATAATTTTTGTGCTATTTTAGTGTTCAGATGGTCTCTCTTAGAAGAAGGCTGGTTGTGTATATTAATAACTTAATAATGAGTAATGTATTTGCTAATAAAGTGGTGGTGTTCATCCACAACACTATTTGGAAGCAGCTGTTATTTACCTAAATCATCTCGTAACTATGCTGAATGACTTAAGTTCATTGAAATGCATTAGTCTGAGCAGTTTGGAAACAAGATCTGAAAAATGACCTAGGGGGAGGAAAAAAGAGGTTTTATTGCACATTTTGCCTTCCAAAGGATACATTGTGTTGTCTTTCCTCAGTAGCACTGATGTACCTTCAGTGTGACTGCTGTCTCATCGTGTGTGGCTCTGATAGTTTAATTGTGGGGAAAAATGTATGGATCTATTTGCAGGAGATAAACACAGTGTATTGGATTTGGGGAAAAAAAAAAAAAAAGGCAACTAGTCTTTGTCTGATCTTGCTGGGCTGAGTCAGCTGATCTGATCTGAATTTCTGACCTAATTTTACTACGGTACTTAGCGATCATGCGGAGAAAATAAGGTTAATGTGCTGATTAGCAGCTGAGAGTAAGCCACAACAAATGAATATATATATTACCTAACGTTTAGACCTTCTTCTTCCATCTTTTATTTGTCTGGTCGCATTACATGACCACGTCTATTCAGGCAGCTGTGTCCAGACCAAGAGAACCTGCTGGCACATTTCCCACAGAGCCTATAAATTGCAAATAAAGTTATGGAGCAGTATCATTTTCACTGGCAATAAAGTTGCAGTTCTGTGACATGTACATTTGCCATGATACAGTATCTGCCTTAGGCAGCATTTCTGGGAACAGAAGGTAGATTTGCCTCAGCTATTTTGGGTGCCAGGAAAAAGGTGAGTATTGGGAGTTTATATAGGGCATCTGTTAGGATGAGCAGTTGCTTTCTGAGTCAACCATAATTGAAATACATATATTTAGGTCCTTTATTATACATTGTTTTGTGTGGATATTTCACCAATGCTTTTCTTAATTGCACAAATACAAAATCTTGTAAGGAACAAATAATGAATGAAGGCTCAGACAAGTTGCATTAATAGGTATGCTTGTAAGATATGTATGCTTTTAAATTTCTGGGTTCCATTTTTTAGGCATAATTTGAGCTACTGTTTCTGTCAGGGAAGTTGTGGTTTTGATTTGTATCCCTGTGAAGATGTGACTGCTCTGGTGTAAAGCTGGTGTTGTCAGCGGGCATGAATTTCTACCTGCCAAATCCTGGACTTAGTCATCAAAATATTTACTTCTGCTGGTTTCCTTTACTTGTAGCTCATTCCCAGGACCTAAATGGCTCTGTGAAAAACCTTGTTTCTGCTTGTTGAGGGAAGTATCCAGGCAGATGCTGTCAATAGGAGGAGCTTTTAGGAGCACTGCTCTGTGCTAAAGCAAACAGAAATGGGCCAGCCAGCCAGTGGCAGAGTTAAGCTCTTGTAGAAAAGAAGGAATTGTAATGAACAGCTGTCATCCTAACCTCTCCTTTCTTTGGCAAATCAAGTATTGAAGACTAACTCATCAGCAAAAGTAAGATCATATTTTTTCTCTTGTCTTTTTTTTTCTTTTGAAAGTTGTGAAAATAATTCAATTCAGGTATTATGTCTTCAGTTTTCTGTAGTTCCTATCCTTAGTTTCCTTCATGAACAAGATGAAAATTGTGTCCTTCAGCTAAAAGTTGTGTTATCAAGCGTGGGTGACAGCAAGCAAATATAAAAATATTTCTGTGCATGGGATTATTCACTGCCAAAAGCTCTGTTCGGCTGAGAAAATGTGGGTAATATTAGACTTACGTGGACATGCTGAAGTGTTTCTACCAAAAGATTCTACCAGATTAAAAGAATAACCTAAGGAAAATAATTTCATCATAAACTTAATGTTTTTTGTAATTTCTTGATATCAGAACAATACTGTAGGTGAAAGATTTCTGAAAGCACTATTTGTTCTAGCTGAAAGTCTGTGTAGTAAATGACACATTTCTAAGTTTTCCGGAATAAATACTCAGGTTTGCTAGATTACAAAATACTTATAGCCTGACCTCAAGAAAAAGGTGAAGGAAGTGCCATAGATATTTTGGGTCATGGTGAGAGCCTTGACTGGAATACTGCAAACACATTATTGAGATGTTATACGTTACAGGCTTGTTAACCTATTGTTATTGTCTTGGTGTGTTGGTTTAGGGTTTTGTTTCTTTCTGTGTGGTTTTGTTTGGTTTTGTTTGTTTTTATTTGTTTCTGTTTTTAATTAAAATCTGAGTTCACTCAGTGAACGTGATTTTTAGATATGAGGTCAGTGGTACACGCTCCTTTAATCAAAGGGTTTGTGTTATGAGGAAGCTTAACTGGGGCACTGGTTGTTTTCTTTATCTTCCTCCTGGACATGTTGCATGCTCACTTCATCCTAGATTAAGTTATTGCTCTGATACCACCATTACAGTGGAAGTGGCTGATAAAGCGTGATAGAGACTAATTTTACTACGATTTCAAA